CAGCGCTGGAAGCTGCTAATGCTCATCAGTAAATCAGTGGAAATTAAATAGAAATCATGATTCTGTCTGAGCTATGCGTTTTAAAAAAATTTTGAACGATACCCAGCCCTACTAAAATGTATTTTTTTATACTTTTTAATGAATTGTTGTTCATCAGTTTCATGATTTCAATTAATTAGACATGCTTTTTGATTAATAATATTTAATCTAACCATTAAAATAAAAACAGAAAATGGAAAAACAGAATTTGGGAAAAATAAAATGGATTTCATAGGCTGTAAAGACCTCATGTCAATCAACCACTGTACCCAAAAGACACATTATTTTATACAATCTTGAAAACGCCCGATTTCTCAGCAACAGTACAGAACCACTGAACATGTTCTAAGGGAAAATCCAATGCGCAAGGTAACCTTTCCTCACAAAGCCCCTTCAGATGGGGGTATTCCATAGGTGAGACACAATGCAGACCCTTGAAATATCAACTTATTAGTCAACACAGACAAGTGTCATTTAAGGAAACAGCCACAAGCAAAAAGGAATATACAACTTTAGGGAAGTGCACTTAAAAATGGGAAATCTGGCGGTGATGAACTTCTGACTTTGAGGTCAGTGAGGCTATGAGAGGTCACTCGTCTGACCTGATTCTAACCCACTTACTGCTGGTCACAGGAGGCAAACCACCCCCATCATATCTGACCAGTGCTTCATCACATCGCAAAATGACTCAGAGTCAGCCTTTAAAACGTGAACGATGAGGCACAATGAGATAATTGCTCTGATCTAAACCACACTACAAGAAGATGTGCATCAAGAACAGTACAAACATGAGCTCAGTATTTCACAGAAATGCTTGACTATGGTACAGTAAAGCAGTCCTAATGAGAATTCAAGTGGAAAGGTTTTTTTAATACACTTAAAAGCAGAAATGGACCCATTCTGACTTGTTAGAGTAGTGTCTGATAACCTTATTACCTTAAAATTAATTACTTCAGTTCTTTGACACATTAATGGCTAAATGATCATTAGAGATAACAATTAAATTATCTAAACATTTAATTGCAATTAAAACATAAAATATTATTAATAACAACAAGAATAAAATAATTTAAAGTAAAAAAAAAAAGTATATATATA